CGAAATTTCGAAGTATACACATAGCGGCGCCGCTAAAGATAAGAATGAAAACGCGAATATTGTTTTCCCTTCCGTGTATCGGGCTCGTCGTAGAGAAATTAAAAAGTCGAAAAATCACGTACCGACCGCGGCTCGAATACTTTTCAATGTCACGTAAAAAACGTCAATCCTTTCGGACGCGGTTTATGCTTCGCGATGCAGTTTAGTGGGTCGTCTGTAAGCAAACACGGACGGAGCTTCCGCAATGCTGTGAACGGTACCGCAGAAACGAGACCTTAAATGACACATATGTACTTTTTTTTATTTTTGTATGTTGTGTAAATCCACTTTCTCTTGCATTGAGATGTTTAACGCTGGAACCACTGAACCCGTTAAAATAACGGAATTTCAGATTTGTTATTTTACAATTACGGAAATCACGAAGGTCCTTTTGTCAGAATTTATGTTGATTTTTAATTTATTAAAAATTGGAATCTCTACGTTTAATCAATCGAAATAGCGAAGTACTTTTTTTTATCTTTTAATCGTTATTTATAACTTTTTATTGGAATGATGAATACTTGAATTTTTCGACTGAAAACGTTGACATCTACTTCACATCAATGAAACTACGGATCCTTGCTAGCAAAAAGTAAATATTAACCGATGACAGACTTTGATACACTTTTAAAATAAGTGTTGCACCGGTGCAACACGAAGAGTTAAAGGGTTAATGTAACCTTATCTAATAGAAAATTGTTACGTAAGTCCTTATCGGGAATCCACAGTATTTCCTGAAACACGGTCGAAATTACTTATTTCAAGGGCAACAGCCACTTTCGAGATAAACCTGCCTTCGTTACCTGCTAAAATCTTGTAAACAGATATTACCACACGAATTTTTCTGAAATTCTTCTGAGCGGATAAATTAACTACATTTGCTGATTTTATCCAACAAAAAACGGACGTTGTGAATTTGGTAAGAATTAATTGAAATAAAAGCATTATATAGAAATTCGTTCCTTTAACCCTCAACAATTTCGTTGCTCGTAACAGAGTCATTCGTTAATGTTTGATTCTTTCTAGCCCCACGGTTTATAATGTTGTTTTTCTCAATCAGTAGTTGCACTCAAGACGATTGTATGTTTATTGTGTAGGGATATTTGTAGAAAAGAAGTCGGTGCATCTAATTACACGGTTATTTCTGGAATCGTGTAAATAGAACTATTCATCCTACTGGTAACGAACGTGTTAACCGGACACGTGAGAATCTTGTGCGAAAACAGTCCATATGGTGTCTGAGTAGCTAATTTTTTTTAAGGAATGACGAAACTTTAGAAGTATTTACAAAATTCGTTTAATATGCAGTAACCGCTTGCGAGTACCTACACTTATTGCTACGCAAAACTAAGGAACTTGTGGGTGGTTCCGATCCAGAAATATCTGGTAGTTTATAAGTACACTGCGTAGTCTCTCAGACAGGACGTGTAACCGGTTAAGGGTTAATAAAAAGAGGACATGAGCACGTAGATAAAACTACTTTAAACTTATTTCTTTTAAGTAGAGTGGAACCTCTAAAATAATTTGTTTCCTACATGCTTATTGTTCATATGTTTCTTTTTTAGTTTCGTTTAGTTCAGTTAATTTATTGTTATTGCGTGTATGTGAATCTGTGAATCTGTTATTGTATCGACGGGACATCTTAAAAAAATATTGTTATTAGAAAGATACAGTTTTACTCCGCACCAATTATTTTGTCTGTGATGTAAACTCTGTTGGTATCCAAATATAATATTATAAAATTTATCTATGGTGCATAGCTTATTACTCTAGCAACTATTCTGTTTAGAAATAACGACATCTGTTATCTATGCAGTAATGTAAGTAGTTTTAAAAATTTTACCTAGTATTCCACCTGGGCATTAAAAAAATTCACACTGCTTACGGCTCCTGTGGACTAACCTTAATGTATATCAACACATGCAAATGTGAATTGTACACAACGAATGATGAAAGAAGTTTGTATTTACAAACGTATTCACACTTGACCTTATTTCCAAGTTACAGGCATTCTTACACAAGACGTTTCATTTATCACGACAATCACAATAAACATGAAAGAATATTAATATTAACATACCTGTACTGTGAAAATAGGGAGGGTTTAAGTCATCATTTTGCTGGTTTCGAAATTGTTTTAATAATACCGAACCATATTGAAGCAGTTGTCATACTTATTTGCATAATTCTGCTTTCATTTCGATTTTATTTAAGACATCTAATCAGTAAATCAATATTTTCCCAGTAAGTATACAATATTATTTAAAGTCAGTGCATCTTCCCACTCTTATGATTAATCAAAATGGCGTAGGACAGCCACATTAGTGGTGAATAGTATTAAGATTTCTGACGTCACGGTTCACTTGAATTCAACTTTAAATTGTAGTGTTTCAATTTCAATTACTATTTGTAAAGATCTATTATAATTAGTACCTACTTGCTCCAATTATCAGCTAAAAAATGTGGATCTAAAATTGTAATAATTTTTCGCGCTTTTGTAATAGATATGATAACACTATACATATCAATCACCGTGTTTGTTTAAACCTGAACGTGTATGCGCGTTAGATTGATACTAAGGATGCTTCAATTATTTTTAATTAGTTAAATTCTGTACTGATCTTACATAATGACCGGATCTCCATGACATAAGAAATCGTTATTCAGGTTTAGCCGGTTACCTGTGAGAATTCATTAAGCGTTACAATCGACACACAATAATGTAACGGATTCAATAATGAGAAATAACGAAAATATACTAATTAATTTTCACATGACCACTTTGCGTTGCAATAAAGAAAAAAAATGATAAATAAATAAATAATAAATGTACACACGTGTATATGTAGATACGCGTGCAAAAACAATGTTACCAAACGTACCAGAAACGAGCACAGTAGAGTCACACGACTAACCAAAATATATTTTTTATTTATAATATAATAAAGAATAATAATGGGAAATGTTGATATTCCTAGATATAAAGTTATCAATTAGGGAGGGGCAAAAATATTAACACATCGACTGCCACAGTGGAAAAGGCTGTACGTAGCCAGACACACTTTATTTTGTTTTTAAAGGTATAAATCGTTGCAAATGTAAACGTTTTGTTAATAGGGGCTGATGGTCGTGTTTCAGATTATACTACAATATTAAATATCACGCAAAAATGTCGTAATTCTGAGAAAGGAGGGGGGGGGGGCAAAATCCAATTTTTTCTTGTAGGGTGGGGCTTCTCAAGAAGCTACGGAACCGAAGTAAGATAGCAGATATTACCTGGACCATTTACATCCCCGGACAATTGTCGCAACGCGAACCTGACCTTACGTCAATTAAACTGTATTATGATCAAGATTGTGTTTACACCACATTTCAATTCCGATACATAACACATATTAAAATTCAATGGGCAACGATTAATAATAGCTAAACTTGAAACTTCGTCGAACAAGTTTCCTATGTGATTCTTATTTCTGAAAAAATAAATACAAAATATAGAATAAAAGAAATAAGGAAAAAATTGTTTCAAATCACCATAGGAGTCACCCTTTTCAAAGACTTGCAACCTCTTTGCTACACCCTGCATATATTTTTGGGCACGTTAACGTCCCTTCGATGATTGTTTACAAATAACAATAGGAGACACGCGATTGGTACTTGACATTTTTTCCGGAAGTGACGGCTAAAAAATCTGAACAGCCTCGATTGCAACATCCAAGGAGTATACAGCGATTAATCAAAGGATATGTAATCGCTCGAATGTGATAAATAGACGCGAAACCGGCAGTGACGGAAGGATGTTGGGTTTATTAATATTTATTCCAGTCGATGTTAGACTACGCCGTTGTTAAACCATATTACGGAATTTTCCCTCGTTATCCATTACTTCGAGGCGATTTATAGTTTAAAGACAATCTTTGCGGGATGATTAAAGTGTTGCTACATCTTTTTTTATGATTAATCGATCAAAGAAATTTGAGCCTGATTCAGCTTCGTGTAAATTAATCCCCATACTTAGGAGCAAAAGTGTCTATGTACATCATATTAGTTATACAAACCCAGAAAAGATCACATTGTCTTTGAAAATGATCACTAGATCCAAATTGCTACAGTAAATATTCATCGAATTAATTTACACTTTCACTCTAGATCAAACTTTCGCGACGGAACATGTATAACTGGTATTGGAGGTAAGACATTGATAAATTTGACTTGAGGTCTGCTACCACATTGTATGGTAAAAGTAAAGTTCAGTTAAAGAAAATAACAATTAGCTTAAAATCTACAAACCCATAATTCTGACCTAATTATGTATTTCGTGAACCATACTATTAGGTCTCATAAAACTCTTACTAGTTTCTTGTATTATTAATAATAACAGAAAAAATTTTCTGTATAACTTACGTTGTCTTACTGTATTCACGGGAACAACAATTACTATAGCATAGATATATCACCAAAATGTTTGTGTAACTACTTTTTATTGATGAACTGGCAACTTCTCGGTCACCCTATATTCAAATTCTATGTGTACAGATACACATAATAGATACAAACAATAAGGTAACAATGTAAACATCTATATATCGGGCCTCGAAGTCTGTTGTACGCTTCGATCTTCAGTTAACTGTTGTTCACCACCATCTGAACGTTGAAATTAATCGCAGTTAAGGCCGTTACGTTTACACGTAACGTTCGTAAAACAGTATCGTAAATTATCTCACATTCAACTATAAATTATTTAAATACTATCAGACCTAATATTTCTATATTTAAACACAATCCTTAACACATTTTTCTGTGATAAAACCAAATAAGATATTTCACACTGCAAGAAAAACATTTAAGAATTTAGTTCGAATTATACTCTTGTACGAGACGAATGAAATAAATGACAGTATCAGAAAATATATACAAGCAAACAAAAACAGTGTACGAAAAGAATAGTAAAATTGAAAAAAGTTGAAATCAATATAATTTTGTAAAAAGTACAAGAACCAAACTAACAAAAAGTGGTGATTTTTTCAAGAGACGTCGAACTTTTAAACTGCAGTTACCTTGCTAACTAAAGTGTGTGAATGATGGTGTTACAAAGAATCGCTGATATAATTTCGATGCTAAGCTACAGTCGTATACGGTGTATGTTTTTTTTTATAATTTCTTACATATCATTTTATCTCAATACAGTAATTTTGCTGCTATGTACTATATCGTAGGCAAATATATTGCACGTTATTTAAAAATTATTTCTATCTATAGAAAATAAAATATTTCGACACTGACTAGCAAGCCGTAAGCCTGTGTAGTCACATCGAAAGGAATGTCGGTTTAAATAATTAGTAACGATACTAGAAAAAAATAGTTTAATAGCAGAATAAAATAGCTTGAATAATAGTTGGCATACTAATAGAGTAATATTTCTTATATTAATGTTGTATTTTAAATTTATCTTATATTGACAGAAATATATTAATATATTGATGTGTTCATATTAACATTCTTGAAAAAGATAAAAAATATGTCCATTATTAATTGTTTTCTTAATTTCAGGCAAAGACGTAAAGTCTGAGGATCATGGTCCAGCAGATTTTGAACGGGCAATTGTAAGCTCTGGTATGTATATACAATCTCTACTAACAAAGACTTTTAACAAATCAATCATGAACCTAACATTTTATGAAAAATAATTTACTAAAATTGTTTACTTCAATCATCCGGCTACTTCATTAAAATCGTATACACCAGGCTCCTCCCTTAAGAGAGAAAAGAAGTTTCTACTTCCTGCTCTTATCTTTATGAATTACTTTAGCGAATGTCATTTTGTATAAAAATTTGCAATCTGAATATCATTGAAAAAATAACGCTTCTGTACAAATTTCAAAAAAGTCTACGCATGTCACCGAACCGATGCCCGTGCCGAGCGAGTATCATTTCATGGCGTGAATTTCCCGACAGGTTATGGAAAGTTCAACTACCTATTACTGTTGGCCGTGCTGCCCGCGAGTTTCTCCAGCATCTTCTCGTCATCGGCGATATCGTACGTGCTCCCGTCAGCGGAATGCGACCTGGGCCTTACCATGTTCGACAAGGGTCTACTCAACTCAATGACATTCGCAGGTGGTATTCATTTATTGGCAGTTACGTAACCGCGATTATAATTACAGGTTGAGCTTAAACCTGTCAAGAGAGTCGGTCAAAGCGCATTCGGTACGGTGCGAGTTTCGTTAGAACACGGTGGTACACCGGGGGTTCGTTAGAGGGTGTATTTGTAGGAATGCAAAACATGGTAAATAAAGACAAACTCTTGTACGTACAGTTAGAGCCTTCAGTATCCGAACACCCATATTATCCGATCGGAATGTCTCCCAGCAACAAATACCTTTTTTTCTGTTGCAAACGCGTAATGATTACATACTATACATAATTTCTTCTGTTTGAATTCTAAGCATAGTTACTTATGTCGAAACATTTATGGACTTTAGTAGCCAAAAAGATACGGGATCCATAAATACTTAAGCAACCCGTCAATTTTCTTGATCTGTATATAAATAAATGAAGTTTAGTATGAGGAAAGTGATTGTTCTATTACCAGAACATTCCTTTATCCGAACACTTATGTTGTCCTATTAGTTCGGATACGGGAGGCTCTACTGTACTTAATTTTCGTTGATCTTGATGTGACGAAAGTTATTCAAGATCGAGGGAAACCGTTGCTCGCGATCAAATCTGGTTCAAGAGGCGTACAAACCGAGAAACAATCGTTGGAAATACTGTACTCCGATACAGTAATTCTTGAAAAATCTTTTGAAAAATCTACAGGGTGATTTGCTTCATCCTCATAATAATTTTGGCTGTACATGATTAGTAATTACAAAATAAAATATTCCGATTATGAGTAATTGTTTGTGATATTAATGAAGAGATACATTTCGCAGTCCCTTGCGACTTTAGAATTTAGATTGTAGGATTCAGAAAAATAAATGGATGTTATTTACGACTTAATACCCCAACATACAGTAGAAACTTCTGAAAATTCAACTATTACCGTTAAGAATAATAATACTTTTCATTGTTATATTACTAAATCAGAAACTATTTTTTGTCATTGCAATGACTAACATCGCCATAAAAATTGAATCTGATGTGTACAGAAAGTAAAAAAAATTTTCATAATAAAAGATCCCATAGTCAGTACTTGTAAATATAAACATGAATGACTAACAAGTTGTAATTATCTTTAATTTTTGTAATTGCTTTTGTTACGTCACAAACTCGTAAAAATTTAACTTCTGTAACGTTTTTCCTTTATTTTCTTATGAAAAATCATTCTATTCCTCCTACCTATAATTTTTTGTTACGTTTCATATTTAATAATTATAACTGATGTTATTGATGAATATTTTTATTGCTACCAATTATTTCCTTCATTGTAGGAAAAAATTTATATCAATTTCAGGTCTTTTACTTTCTTATTTAAATCGTCTTTATTATTGTATTATTGCAATCTACTATTTATATCATACGTTACTTCATTTAATTATTCCAGTAACTTGTCATTTCTGGATATTCAATTAATATGTGCTTATAAAATGTTTTTCAATATATTATAAAATTAATATTCACATTAACTTCAATATATTCCTAAACCTCGTGACGATCTTGCTCTCAATATTACAGTACATAAACGAAAACTTCATTACTGTCTGTTTCGTACTCATTTAAACGAAATCTATGTTTGTATTTGTTTATAATCTCTGGAAAAGCGAAGTCTCTTTCCATCCACATTGTTATCGTTAAATAATGATTCTTAACTGACAGTTATTATTGAAAATTCGATTGCTTTCAGGAATGATCAGCACGTCGTTTTTCTGGGGATTCATGACCGACACGTTCGGTCGTAAGAAGATCATGTTTTATGGTTACATGTTCACCGGGATCTTGAGTCTGGCGACATGTTTTTCGCATACATCTTGGCTTTTAATTTTGTTCAAATTTCTCGACGGCGTGATGTAAGTTGATTGCAATGCTTCTAATATCGCGATACCCACACATCGGACTTTATGAGGTCATCCGCCTTCTGATGCTTTTCAGTGTTTCAATTTATTAGACAGTTTTATGTATTAAAGCAGGGGTTGAAAACTGTCATGATAGTGACGCCGGTTCTTCCGAACAGACTCAAAGAATTGTTATTTTTCTATCAGAGTTATAAGAAACCGAAATTAATGAAGATATCGGTACTACATTGGTTTCATTTGGGTACTACATTCACTCGACATGTATATCGGTTCTATATCAGTTCTGCATCGTTTATTCTGCATTGATTCCGTATCAATAAAGTATTCCATTATTATTAGGTTGAGGTCTCAAACATGGGATCAAGAAGCCCACGACTCTTTGGTAAGGATTTGTCAATTGAAATTAATTTCCCTTCGATGAAAAATTTTCTGTTCAAAATAATATATATATACATATATCGTTCAAACTCTGCAGTTCTAACCCAACGTTCATTATGCAGCAACCTAACAGTTTCAAGTGTAACATTAACAATAATAATTTATAGCAGTAGAACCGATGTAGAATTTCGTGCAACCGATATAGAGGCAATATTCGAAAAGATATTGTCATTACAACTAGGAACATTTGGATTTATAACAGTTATAATAGCATTTCGGCTCTTAACAACTCTTTCAGTAAGAATCTTCATAGTACAATTATTAATAGTTACTTTGTGAACCATTTCAATCCCTGCCCTAAAATCATAACTTCAAAGATTCGTTTACTTTTTATAGTAAATGAAAGTAGAATACTTGTTACTTATTTAAGTATTACTGCAGTCTTGAATCTTAAAATTTTAACGTGAAATTATCTAAAAAAAAAACGTAATGTGGGTCCTTATCGAGAACCCATAGTGTTTATTTCCTGAAATAGGATTGAAATTAATCATTTCAGGGGCAATAGCCTGTTTCGAGATAAACTAGTCTTCGTTACCGGTTAGAATATTTTAAAGAGATACTACTACATGAACGTTCCATGGAACAATTTCATAGATAGGAACTGCTTTAAACGAATAAAGTAACTTTTACATTTGCTAATTTTATCGAAAAAATAAGTGAAATCGTGAATTCGGTAGAAAATAATTGAAATAAAAGCATTATGTAGGTATTCGTTCCTTTAATCACGTAAAATATAAATAATTATTTTTAATAAAGATTTCTCCAAATTTGCAGCATATCTGGCCCCTATGCCGCTCTGATGTCATATTTAGCGGAAGTACACAACGAGGTAAATCGATCTCGAACCTACATGTGGCTAGGTGTGTTTTTCTCGCTTGCAAACATTTCTTTGCCATGTAAGTGTCACTATTTGATATTTTATTTCTTAAAACTTCGGAAATAGTACATCACTATTTTCCTAATTTTAATACAGTTGACCCCCCTATTAAGCGGGGTAGGTATACGTTCTGTGGTATACGAGTCACATATGTACATCCATATATGGATTTTTTACACTTCGTTACGCAAGTATCCAAAAGGAGACAGATTCGTCAATATATTAGCAAAATTTCGAAGAAATTAAAGAGAAATATTTAAACTGCACACAAATCTTCACTGGCAGTGTTATTTTAAAATACCAACTACATGCAAGTATTTCTATGTTTTTATGTAAATCAGGGTCTCAATTCAATAATAAAATTTGTTGTACACAATTCTTTATACGTTACGTTTTTAATAAGCAAAATAAATAAAGTGGTAGTATTAAGAACACTGGAAGTAACTGGGATATTTACCCTATACTCTATATTCTATACGACAGATTTTGCTTGCCAAACAATCCTCAAAAAGCGTTAAAGTGTGTAGTGGAGGTGGCGAAGATAATCGAGTTCATCAATCAAAGTGGTCTTTTATAGGTATCGCGTGGCTAATCCTACCCCAGAAATGGACCATAAATCTGATGAGTAAAAGCGTGGAGATTAGTTCCTGGAGAGTGTTTTTAGCAATTTGCTCATTACCAGAGTTCCTGGCGTGCATTGCAATGTTCGCATTTCCTGAGAGCCCACGTTTCCTCCTCCTGAAAGGACGAAGAGAAGAGGCTCTGGAGGTTTTCAAGAAAATTTACGTAGTCAACACCGGAAAGGATCCAGACACATACCCGGTAAGCAAGTCGAACAGTTTTTTTTTCACATCGATGACTATTAACATCGTCGATTAACATCGATGACGTCTGACCAAATTATTCTTGTTAACTAATCGATAAATAAACATCCTATAGATACAGTTGTAATTGTATCCGCATAATGCGTTTTCTTGAATCTTACATAAGAGTTTTCTTGTTTAATCTGACAAACGATCAAGGATTTTAATGTTTGTGACGTAGGTGAAAAACACACTGAATGGATCTGAAATATTCTTTGATCGTGGAAACTCGATTATTATACTTGATGTAACGTGAACGTATAGTTAGGATTTTCTCAAGGGCATTGTACTCGAATATTTGTTTGTTGAATCTTTTTGGAATACATTAAAACAAACAAGATTGTGACGGTTTTATCTTAATTAGATTACCGTTGACCTGTACTTGAAACATTACGAAAAATCTATTGATAAAGTATTCTCAGAACAACATACCCAATATTCCAACATATCAGTATGGAATTTATTGCATATGGATAATATCATGGACACAAAAAGATTTCGAATCAAAATTAAAACCTGTCTGTATAAAAATTGTAAAGATTTTCACTTTGACAGAACCGTAGTGTAAAGTATGCTTGTATCGTTACATACAAATCAAATTCGAATTTATCTCTTCCTGTATGTAAATAATGCAAATTATTTGGAATCGCAACAATTTATGTAAGCGATGAAAAATAATGTTCTATACCCGAGTTATATGTTTAATGACTGACTAATTAAATATTTAACAACTTTATCTGCAGATAAAAGATCTCGAGGACGAGTACTTCATTCAAGGGTCAACCGACACTGTGAAAGACAAACTGCGATCGTGCTGGCAACAGATCCAACCTCTTTTTGTACCGCCAAGCATTTACAAACTGATCGCGATAGGTTTGATTCAGCTTGGTGCCACAATAGGGTTAGAATTAACGAATATTTCTACTTAATTTCATAAGCGCTGACTCTTTAAATACGCACACTTGCATGGAAACTTTTTGTTTCTTGTTCTATACTGTTCTCTTTCTAACAAGAGTAATATGAATTAACAGAACAGCAAACGAGACATTATGTTCCAAGTTACTATGCATATCTATTAGGTGTACCAATAAGTTTCCCACTACTTTTTTGCGAAACTTGATGTTCTATTCGAAATAATTCAAATACCAGTCCTATTCTAGCAATACTCGTTATTTATTCCCATCATCCTCCGCCATTTTGACTAAACAGAAGATTGAAAAGATATTTTATAGTGAATTACATATTGGTATATACACCTAATATAACTGTATTAAATGTATTTCAAGAGTCAACGTTCGGGAATTTATTTGCATCGCTCTGCAACACCCACAGTACACGACAATGAAAATTTTTTAATTTCTAGATCGAACTCGATCCGATTATGGATGCCTCAGTTATTCACAATGATGGAACACTTCAAGAGCAATTACACGAAAGTCGAATATTCAAGCACGCAACCACGCTTCTGTTACATGTTAGGCCAACGGCAATCGAATAGTAGTTCCTCAGGGAGTTTTGTGAATGAAACTTTAAGGGTTGCGCAACCGTGCATTCCGGTATTATATTATTACAATTATAATATTTTCTTGCCCGTTCCCGTATATTTGTATATTTTTCTGTGATTTTATCTGTGATTTTATCTCCACTCTGGTTGCGTATAGCAAAAATGGCGGAAGTAAAGTTCCAATGTAAACGTATTTGTTAATATTTGTTATACAGGCATTTTGTTAATATTTTGGAATTAGTAGTTAGAAATACAAAAAAACAAAAAGAAATGATTGCGTGAAACAAGTTTGTAATTTCAGTGACGAACAGGATGTGAATGTGGCTGTTACGAGTAAAGTGGAGTCATAGATAGTTAGTTTCTACGATCGCTTTCACTTATTTACAGCCAAAGAGGAGATATAAATTATTCCAATTTTCATGATTACTTTCGACGTCGTTCATTAATGTCTGCAAGAAAGTCGCATAACCACAGATTAGATTTGAATACCGTCGAAACCCTACAATACTAATTTATTTGTACACTTGTAAGCTGTCGTGTATGTTCAATTTCAGACGGTCTTAAACGCAAAAGTCTTCATTAATTCCATCGTAATCGCCACGACCGGTGTTGTGGGGTATACTTTAGCTGGCACGCTGATTACAGTAGTAGGAAAAAGAAAACTCATAGGTAAGATTATTTAATTGTCGAATACTAGAATGAGCAGCTGAATCCGTCCTTAAAAATGTATTTATTCATTTTTCAATGCAAACAAATTCAAATTCTCAACGATGTGTAAAATAATTTGAAAAATTTTCGTATTTTCAGCGACCTGTTTTCTAGTAGCCGCTGCTTGTTGCGGATCTCTGTATTGGGCAGAAAATGCTAACAGTATTCTCGGTTTATGTTCTGTTTTCGTGGCTATGTCGAGCATAGGAGGTGCATGCGTCGTTAACATTATTGTCGATAACTTTCCAACATGCTTAAGGTACGAAAATCGAGGAAAAAAATACTTTTCTTCATTGTTATGCGTAATTTGTGCGACTCATTGAATACTTTGCATCAGGACTATGGCAGTCAGTCTGACTATGATGGTTGGTAGGCTCGGAGCGGTTATGGGCAATTTACTGTTTCCAGTTCTATTCAACTTGTCCTGTTTGGGTCCATTCGTTATGATTGGCTCAGCTTCTTTGGGTAAATATCATGCTTGTTAAATTTTGTTTTACTGTTAGATCTACAACGAGCAACCCACTAAAAACGATGTAGCAGTACATACGTATGAAAATGGGCTAATAGGTCAAAAATCTAGGAGAATGATACTTGTCACGTATTGCAGTTAAACAGAATTCACTTGATACTTAAGGGGTTAACCCACTTTGGAGCCTAAAAATGAAAGCCAATTTTGGCAATTTTTTGAGCGTAAATGATGAAGTATATACGGTGATACGATTTCAAATATGACATACATTTCTATGAAAATATTATCTTACATACAAAATATACGACATCCTTTAAAGCTAACAAAAATCGAAAGAAGTAGAGACATAGGCTCCGTGTAATAGAAAGGCAAATTGAAGTTTCACTTAGAGTATAATAGACAGAATGGAAGATAACTCATAAAAATTCTGAACAAAATAATAACTTAATAAAATGCTAAAACTTCAAGAATTTAATTTTAAAACTGTTAAAACATTAAAGCGTTAAAACGCCTTAAACTTCGAAATGGTTCAAAAAACTTGCAGCTTACCGGAAGTACACCTAATAGTTTCTTTATACAGCCTTCTATACAAAAAGTTTTTCTTATCTTTTTATATTTTTGATTTGCTTTTCAGTATCAGCCTTACTGGTAACTGTGCTACCTCGAAAGCCTTCGCAAACGGATAAATCGAAGAACGTCGTTTGACAATAGTGTATTCCGGATGGTGATTTCAATCAGGCCGATTGAAACGGTATAATTCAGCTAGTTGTAGCTGAGAGGATCGCGTGTAAATAAGTTCTGTCCTTGATCTTTCATAGATTCTGTAATTCGTGTGCATGATCTTCCATCATGTAAATATGTATATACAATACAATTACACTCATATAGTATAAAATCTCCTCACGTTATATATGTATGCATGAAATTAAGTGAACCATAGAACGAGTGCGTGTGGTGAGACTTTGTTTAATAAATCTCGTGACTGCATCACGTGTGGAATAATTTTAGAACAATTCTCTAATTGTTTTTAATCACTTTGTCAGCCAGTGATTTGTCAGGTAGTACATTAAATGAACAATGAATTTCTGAAACGATGTAATGAAAAAGACAACATGTTTGTTGTACAATAAATCTGTTTTATTATTGTTTTAAAGTAACCATGACTTTCTTCTTTATCTTTTCCTCATAGAAGTATAGAATATCTCCTATTAACAATAAGAAATACTTTCGCAGAAAAGCTACGAATTCCACCTCTAACATGAATTAATTATCGGTTCGTGTATCTGATCAAAAACGCATTCGCTCTCCCCGTGCCATAATGGCGCACGATTTTAGAAACATTTATAAGAAATAATGACTAACAATATTCATAATATTCTTTATCATTACCATTGGCGTTAATGTAAAGTTGAAGATTAAACTGCACTGCAAGCTTTTGTTCCAATTGACGGTAATGAACTCCGAAAATGATTAAACCACTTTGAGTAACACTCACAATCAGACTATGAAAATAAAATTTTTGAACTAAACCACATAACCTTACCGTGCCTGCCAATACAGCTTTCAAAAGTCCCTAGGATAGTATTTGAAACTTCGTGAACAATAATTACTTACAAAATACGGTTACATATTGTAAAAATGTGACATATTGACTTTTTATGAAAATTGCAATTGCTGAAATGATTTAAAATATATAAAATAATTAAAAAAAGTGTCAATGATAAAAAGGTGTTGTATAGGGTAATTTAAAGGGAATTTCGTTCGGTGCAGTATAGCGCTTATTGTCAGTGAGTCGAACGGCTTTGACAGAGCACTAGTGAAAGTGTACGTGATGTGAAAGATTTTGAAGTTCTGTCGTCATTTCGTAGATTGTTAGGCCGGTTTGGAATTATGGAACAAGTATTTCAGAACGGGAATTATCAGAGGGAGGCGAATGCAAATATGACTACAACGGAATTACAGAAAGAGGTAAGTAACGCTTCGACTCCCTTCCCTTTTTAATTCGTCCGCCAAATCGATATACATTACTGGGTACTATTTACATTCTATGCAATTCTTTTTGAACACTTCTCTAAACTCGCCGATTGTCATTTTATTTTTGCAAATGACGAAATTTAACGTTTTTTAAATGAGAGATATGTTTGTTCAACAACACTGAAAGCGTACAGGCATTGCGAAATAAGCAAAACGACGCGCAGTGATTCTCATACTCTGTTATTGTTGACAGAGATGATTTGAGGTTTACGCGTTCTTGTATGATATGCATTTATGAATTTGCATTTCTACTATTCTCTATAATCTCTCATAGAGTTGATGTACGAATGTTGAATTACACGTTGAATTATTTTTTATGGAAATGTTACAATACAAAGTTTACATTATCTTAGACTAGACGATATGTCATAGAAGTAGGTCAAACTATTCGTTTGAGCACCATTGCACAAGTGTTCGCGGTACTTATGGTGGTACTAAATACACATACGATTGTTGCAAAGTATTTGATTAACATAACGACATCGCAAAGAAACACATGCATACATATATCCACGGATCAGAGTTGAATTAATAAACGTTATTCTACTGAACATTTTTATTTTTATAATGCAAATTCTATAATTTGTAATTAATATTTAAAAAAATGTTTGTTTTGCGTATAAGTGAACATTTATTTTCTTTAATTTTGTTATACGTTTCAGATTTTTTTGCCTATTATTTTACTTATAGTTTAATTTTTAAAGTTTTTAAATATTATTTAGTATTAATGAAGGACTCGTTGCGTTCACCTAAGTTTTCCATACTTTTATTTGGAAAATTGACGAATGTAAACAAGTGTTTTAAGAGTAAGTTATATTTGTATATATAGTTCATACTGAATAGTAATATATATTTGATATGAAATATACTGATTTTTTAAATAAGTTTTGCTTTGGTAATAATTTATACTTACATGAAATAATATGTTCACGAAACTGAAATAATTTTATTATAATTATTTATATTAATCTAATCACCTCTTCATACACCTAGCATACTATATGGTCCATAAATTACATTTTATTATTTTCATGTTCTGAGACTTTAACTTATTTTTGTGTTCCTAACCATTATTCCTTATCCTTTTCCTGTTTAGTATTAAAACCCCAATCTTAAAAAAACAACAGACAATAAATAATTTTATGCAATTATTTTAAGTGTGAGAAGTAACATATTTTCAGTATTTTGTAATAGTGTTTGTAGAGTTAATAATGTAGAAAATTGAATATTTTAATCTAGTTCTTATATTGCCTATTAGGACTCATTATTTGATCATATGGAGATCTCAATAGTTGAAGCTGAGAAACGAGCAAATGGAGCTTTGAATTTAAGAGAATTTTATATAGTCTACCTCATTGAGACTAAGTGAGTAGTATAGTGAAATTAATTAAGTATATGCAAGTTATATTCAGATATGCAGAGAATGTTTCATATTCCTGTAGAGTTACTGATCCAGACTTTAATGGAGCAATTAGCAAAATAAGCTCCCTGTGGCGTCGATATACAGAATTTGAATTACTCCGAGCTTACTTAGAAATTTCTTATCCATATATTGTTTTGCCTCCATTACCAGAGAAAAAAGTTCTCTATCCATGGCAAAAAGTTACCACTGACACATTTGATCCAGATTTTGTTGATCGACGTAGAGCAGGTCTTGAGGTAGGTCCATGTTTGCATATTTACATTGTTACTTGTTTAGTTATTTACACATAGTGTAAAATATCTATTTACAAATCTGTTAAACAAATTTCTCTTCAGAATTTCCTTCTGAGAGTAGCATCACATCCTATATTGTCTCGTGATGAGCATTTCATGGGGTTTCTACAACAGAAGGATGGTTGGAGAGAAAGTATTAAAGAGAGTGGTAAATTATATAATTCATTAGATACATCTCTCAAGTAAATTATAGTGTACATTTATTGAATCCAGAACTTTGTATTCGACAACAGGATATTTGCAATTAGCGGAATCAAAATTAAAAGCACTAAGTGTAGCAGTGCGATTAAGAAAACCAGATAAACGATTTGAAACAATAAAAAATTATGGAATTGAACTTCAGGTACATTAGATGTTTAACTCATTATTCATAGATAGTTAAACATTAAGGGTGTATAAGCTTTATCGAATGATTAACATTCTAGAATAACTTGTGCAATCTTCTTCGGGTACGTGCAAGATTAGTAGAAAAACAATACAGTTTGTACAAACTACATGCAAACTATGGTCGTGTATTCAGTGAATGGAGTGCCATAGAAAAAGAAATGGGTGATGGATTACAGGTACTTTAGTTGTTTCAAGCAGTTTAAAATTGTATAATATTTGAGTACATAGACAGATTGATGTATGAAAAATTTATGTATATAATGAACTATAATTAAGATGCACTGTTAAGTAAGTGTATTGCAAAGCACACTGCATTACAGCGTGTTTTCTTAGAAATCGGGCCACTATCTGGATTCGTTGGCCGCGACAATAGATACCACTCTTGAAGAAGAAGAATTAATAGCGGATCAATTAAAAGAATGGCTATTCGGTGCATCAGCTTTACAAGCAGTTGTCAAGCGAAGAGAAGCTTTGCAACTAACTAAAGATGAAGCTCATGATGCCTTGACCACTGCATTTGAGCAAAAAGAAAAAGTCATGCAAGGTTTTATTCTATAGTCAATATTATTACCATTCAAGTTAAAAGTACAAACGTGTTAATGTAATAACATTTACTGTTACAGGAAAATCAGGATTAATGTCACGGTTGTTTGGTTCAGTGGATACAGAGGAAGTCCGCGAATTGAAAATATTACAATTGGAGCAAAGAATTGCACAGCACGAAGAAGCTATGAAGCAAGTAGATGAAGACTTAAAGTAAGTTAAATTAATTCTTTTTTACAGATAGTCCAAATGTAGAAATAATATAATAATGTTAGTTAAAAGTAATGAGTTATTATTGGAAGTATTACATTTGAAGAATAACTTTGAACTCAATGAATCTTTAGGTCTTTCTCTATTAAAGCAATGATGGATATTGAGAGATTTCAGCATCAGAAGGTAGTAGATTTAAAAGAAATTTTGGCAGCTTATTGCATCTTACAATTCAAACTTGCTAAAAAGGTAAAATTCTGAATTAATTTTATATTTTTATCCTATAAGGTAAATACGATTCTAAATAATTGCAGGGAATGCAAGCTTGGCAGCATATCAAGAGTTGCCTAGAAAATATGCCATAGAATTCTTTTATTATTTCAACCGACAAAGAACAATAACTGTTCTTACATTTGTCGCGTGATTACACATTCCTATATTTGTAAGGTCACTCATACTGTACGCTTATTATTACATGAATGTACAAGATTGTTTTTACTTAATGTTATATTAGACGACATTACTTATATAGATACATACATACATATACATATATGTATATGTATATAAGTAATATATATTATATATATCTATATACAATTCATGTTGGATATATAGATATGTGAAACATTATTTAATATTTATGTGTATTTAGTACGTTCTTGTTGTATATGTAAGATACAGTTAATCAGTTATGTGGATGTTCAAGCAGTAGTTTACAGTCATCATAAAAAAATGTGGTTTATATTTAATATAAACCATACAATGAAGTTTCTTAAAACTCCTCACTGAAAGTTCAAAGTAATGTTGCTGTAACTTTTTATACACTATCCCCATTATCTGCTCAATCAATTCTTCACTTTCATCGTCGTTAATCAAATATCTAAATTGTATCTTATTCATCGATACAATTGTTGCATTTATTTTTCGTAATTATAGAAGTAGTCGCGATATCGTTAAATGATAAAATTTAAGAGTTTAAATACTATTTTCTACGTGTAAAATTATGTTTTTCTACGTATACACCTATTTCAGTACAATTTAGTAGTGCAGTTTGAAATATACGCAGACCCGTTCTTTCTGATATCGCCTTATTTGCATTTACAGATTTTACAATGTACTGCAACTAAATAAACCGAATAGATGTCTACTGTATAAATGTTACAGTCTTATAATATTTCCTGTATAATAATAGTTTAAGTTATTATTTTGAATTGATTTATTTATTTGCTTTTTAGACTGTATCTTGTTTAGGTTACCGCTATGGTTGAACAGTTGCCATAGGTACTGTCACTAGTTTTTCATAGTTTAATTTACACAGATTCCTGTGATTTGTAATATAATATTTAAACATTTTTTCAATAAATATAAATTTATGAGGCAAGTTATTTTTCGTTTATTTAATTTGCAATTTATTTATTATTTCCGATATATTATCAAGAATTAATATATAAGGATATTATGTATTATTTTACACGTATATATGATCATCAACACGTCGATAACGTGTACACGGTGTTTTACTGCCACGCGGCCATTATTCGTTTACCGTCAATTTTGTTTCTATTAAAGTATTTTAATGTAGTTAACACATTTTCCCTTATCCCCAACACACTTTCACTCACCAAAACGTCGCCAATGCGTCGGTGGGCCGCTCGTCGCCAGGGTTTACTGTTTACTGATGGACCTGGCTTTCGTCTCCGCCAACCCCCGCTCTCTCTTTTATTACCCTCTAGTACTTAAGGGTATGCTCTCTTAAAACCACGGGTTGAAATGGTTCTAAAAATAACTGTTTCAAACTGTCATACATCTGTTCTTACTGTAACAGTTATGAAAAACTTTTATTCTAAATAACTTATAAAGAACTTATAAGAAAGATTGTTTTACGTTTGTCCCTGGTCTCCCTTACCTTGGTAAAATGTTAAAACAATTAACACAGAATAGTCACAAATGGGATGAGGGTGTGTTGCAAATCAATCAGTAAACCAATGCTTTAGTTGGACAATTTATTACGTGTGCGTCGGTATAGAAATATCATACAAATCCGAAGACGATCCGAATAGATTACGAAAACGTTAGGTTCACGATGTTCACCCTTTCATACAAGTACATTACAGGAGGATCGATGTGGAACGATTTTCTATACAAACATCTAAACGAATCACCACTAAAACGAACCACTAATTAGCGACAATAAAAAGTAGGGTTGGGGGAGGGGGGGATTATTATTTACAATTCAGTGCGTTCCCGTGTTCACATGAAGCTCCGCACACTTTGGTATTAATCGAATGTATATACATTGCATACTTGCGCTTACACGACTTACAACGTAAATCAGGAGTAACGTGCTATCGTCGATATTATTCTGCTTTTTTTTTTATCGTTTATACGTGTCTCGGCTATTTGGGTATCGATATTATGAGTAGGATGCGCCTTGTCGGTATATTCTATCCCGAATTCACAGTGGACACAATTATATTTACAGTGCAAAATGAGCGTTTCCTTTGTTCTCGATAACGCAGTCTGACGATCAGAGTTGGATACTGTCCTTTTTTGATTTTTCCTTTCTCATGAAAGAAAGGCACTATCAACTTGGACTTGTATTTCGAATATTTATTATTTAATGTTTTTTTTTAAATGTCTTTGACATGGATTACTTTTAATTTGTGATTACTACGTTAGACTTGGTCAGTTTTAAGTCTCATTTACGATTAAGCGGCGGATGTTTATGCAAATATTGATTTTCGTGGACTAATTTGCAGAATCTGGAATTGAACAGAAACTGTCACCCACACTGAGGGTGTTATTAGATTACTATTAAAATGAAAATGCCGTTAATTTTTACTAAATTTATGATTACAGAGTTTTACACAATCGCATATTGTATGAACGCATAAAATCTGCAGATTATTTATGAAGAAAAGGTCGTTTTCCTGTCCTTTAATATGTTACAACTGAATTATCGTAGAGTTTTTAAAACTGACATAATCTACGTAAAATATTTTGCAACCAGATAATAACTTAATCTTGCTGATTATCATCGGTACAGATTTGAGTCTTTTGTAAGAGAGAAATATTATATACTTACAGTAATGGAGATTTTATGAAAATACATATAACATTTTTCTCTGAGGATAAATTCATCAATAATTTTACAAAAGACATTGGTTCCAACCGTTAATTCAGATTAGTAAACTTTTCTTAACCAAATTATAAGTTTTTAATATAATTTAGAGAATTATTTAAATATCACTGTACATATTCCATTGAATTCTCTTAACACTAAAGATTCATACATACCTGTAATAAATGTGATACATAATTCCTTTATACAGAGGATAATTAAAATATTTCATGTTTCAAAATAGAACTCTTTCAAGAAATAAAATTCGTATGGTTTTCCGAAAATTTATGATTTAACTCTTGGTAATGGTTATTAAGTATTCTTTATATGCAGATTATTTTCATTTTCTTGTACACTAAAAATTAACGAAATATGTAACAAATTTTAGGTGATAAGAAAAGTAATGCAATATAAATGTATTTTGTTTTTAATTCTAACATTGTAATTAAATTAACATTAACTAAGGTCAGTGTTGTTAAAAAAAATGATAATCTTTAATGGAGTCGTTATTATTAGTACTTTATAACAAAATGTAATACTGACTTAGACTGGTATTCTCTAAGAATTGCATAGAAAGAGATAATTAATAATATAATGTATCTTCTTAAATATGGATAAAAAATTGGATGATAAAATTATTGGAAGTTAAAGATGGGACTTCTCAAATAATGAAAACATCTGACTTTTTTTCAATAAATTTCAACAGTAACAGGAAAGACGTCCTTGTTATGCAATCGAAATTTTCTTCAAATAAATATTTTATTTATCACGAACACACATTTCCACCTTAATTTCCCTGTTTTGTTTTTATACAACAATTTTTCCAAACTCTGTCGACGATACTGCGTCGTTCTCCCATTTTATTTCTTTTTTTCTTTCTCCCCCTCTCTCTCTCTCTCTCTCTCTCTCTCTCTCTCCCTCCCTCTCTCAATGATAAAAACGCTCTTTGGTCGTCTAAACGAACTTAACGAAACTCGGGAATAAACAAAGCTCAGCCAAAGCGCAAAAAATACGAAATCGTATAAACTTTCACGGTAATCGCTAGATTTCGACGCGAAGTAGGATTTTAGATACAATTACAACTTCGTTTAATTAAATCATTCAACCTAGATCCTTTACTAATTATCCTCCGATAATTTAACAAAATACTGTATATCCAACAGAATAATTGACAATTTCATTACATAATTTTGTATGTTTGTTGAATGTCGATTTAAGAAAAAATTTTACTACGTTTATTGCACCCCATCACTCAACGTTCACTGAAAGTATACGAACATTGAACAAACTGTAATTTCTTCCGGGCTGACTGATTAATTACCAGTCACTAATTCATACTTAATCAAATTGATTCTCTTACTTTTTTATCTTGGAATTATTGAATCGTGTGTTTGTTATTCGTTTCACAGTTTCAGTGCACGTGAATGAACTTTGCTTAAAAGCGTCAGCAGCAAATTAATTTTATAAACATCGAAATTAATTATTATATTCGCTGTTCGTTTTACGTTCTATGCAAATTATACTAGCTCCGCGTTCTATGTTCTCTGTTTCGAACGATAGTTCGTGATTCTTTAGATACATACTTTGTGAATGTAAACTAAAAAATAATTTCGTTTGAAAACTATTACAATGGTTTACACCGTCTTCTCGTTTATCATCGTTTCGTAGTGAACGAACAATTCGTTACGTCGAGAACACTCGATCGTCGATATTTTTGATGATTCATTACGCACATTCTACCTGAGATTTCTTCTGAACAGAAGTATTCGTGATTAATCGAATTTTGTCTTGTTCGTGATACAAGTGTGTGTAATTGCGAAATATCGAGCGCGACGCTTACGTTCTGGCAAAATAATATATTTAAATAATTGCCGACTTAAATCGCCCCCGAGATATGATCGGAGCTCTTCGGACACGCAAGTTTTCATTACTGTTTATCTTACAATAATATCTAATTATTTGTTTCGACTTTCGTTTCGATCCTTCGTTATATAAGCTCATGTTCCTGTGAATTATTTTTTTTCTTTGTTATCTGAAAAATTGGTGGTTCTTAACCCTTTCGTGCATAGTGGTAGAATTTAAAATCTATTGTACATATTTGAGTATTCGAGTACTTTTTAAATAATTCATTGTACAATTATTCTTTGTAAAATAATTATTCCATTCGTATGCATTCAAACATACCAGGTATCTCTATGTATGTAAAAAATATAGTTTCAGCTTAAAATAATCTTGAATATTACGGACAATACGTTTCTGTTACGAATGGAATTCACCGAGATTGACGAATAAATCATCGAAATGAGACAGACAATTCTCTTCCGGAGAGTGAAAACTTGATTAATTATAACAAACCACCAATTACTGACTTTTAATTACCATAATACTCAAATCCATATCAGTAACATTAATTTAAAAATTCAATTTGACCAGTTTTCAATACCCGTTCATTAAACTGTTATTTTCTCAATCGGTCAGTTTGTTTCGATCAAAATTGAACCAAGTTAATAATTAAAGGTATCGATTCCCCCGATTGATCGACACGTCGTGCACGCTTTACCTCCGATACGATGGCCAAGCGCGAAAGGGTCGAGGCCATTTGTTTTTTTTTTGTTTTCAGAGAAGCTACGAGCTTCCAAGCAACTTTCATCCACCGACTCCTGGGTGTCCACGCCACCCTATTTGTTCTCGCAGACTACTATTCTCTTCAAGCACTTGTTAAAAGAAGACCACGAAGAAAGCGGACACTTTCGTTCTGGCCACACTGCACAACACTATGGACTTCCTGTATCGTGGTGAAGGGAGTCACTGTCACTTTCGAGGTAAGTTACGTAGCTATCTGTGCTGTCAGGATGCTGTCCCATGTCAGGACCGCCGCCGCCGGGGTGATGGGGCCCAGGGGGTGGCAGGGGACCCCCACCCCCGCCGCCTCCCCCGTCGTTCATTGGTCCACCGAGCATCCCCGGTGGCGGCAATTGAGGTGGTCCACCGTGAAGATCGTAACCGTGCATCTGAAAATGATAATTATGGAACGTGTAGCAAACTCTGATGAATTTTCATTGTGTAAACTTTTAAAGAGTGAGTAGGATAAACGTGTCAGTTACTGTGCTCTTATACATATGACAATTACATTCATTTTAATGATTATATAATTTTACAAAATAATCTAAGGGCACAGTAACCAGAAGGGGGCCTCAATAACTGACACACTTACCCCATTTCTGCCCTTCATAACAACTCACGACTATCCGTATTTACACAAATATTCAAGCATACAGTATTTTGTCCACAGTAAAGTGCACAACTACCTCAATAATCACACTTCAGGTAAGTCATCAAATTAAAGACACCAAAAATATTTCTAACAAAAGCAGCTAACGTAAAACATTTTTCACTATTTCTAACAACTCCTTATTTTTCAAAGTAAGTGACTCATTTGTGCACCACACTTTGAAGAATGAAATTGTTTATGTTTAATGAAACACTTTATACATAACTTATGGTACGCAATACGATTATATTTTTTAATGATGTTATTATAGTAAAGAAATAACAAATACAATTACCTGTGATACCAAATGATGGAAAGATGGGGTATTGGGATCTAGCCTGTCTAAATCAGTGTGGAGAGCGAAGTCCGAAAGTGCTTTCCACGGTGGTTGATAAGCTTGCACCTCGAGTGGCGTCATTCCTATGGAACTCTCGTGTCTCACGGGACTACTGGCCACCATGGGAATGCCGTGCATTCCACCGAAGCCTAATTTACGGCCGTCCTGCAATAAAAAGCACTTCGACTCATTAAAATTGTTGCTTGAAATGCGAACAATCGTCAAGTCTCTGAGAATTTTTCTCGATTTCGTTGTCACCTCTTTAACGCGTTGTAATGGAATAATTAATGAATAATTGGTGACTTTACTGTTAATTTAGTAAATAGAACGTATGTAAAGTCTATATATTTCTATTTACATGACACTGCACTTCAATATTTTCCACGTATTCTCCATGTTAAGTCAATCGTATCAAATGTTAGATGCAGCAATGAGTAATTCCCTATTCTTTAATAAATTTAATATTTGTTTCATTGAAAATCATAGGCTGTCCGGAAGGAATTATACATACATACAATGTTTCTTGTAAATGTCCATTTACAATGAAGGTTAAATTACGATAACAGCAAAATTGTGTTTTATTTCGACTTATGTGAACTGAATAATAATTATATTTATTCCTTTCGATTAACGATACGTATTTGTCATTGCTCTGCGGTGCGTTTATCGAACACGAACACAGAATTTAAACTATGTTATCATTTTGTTAAGGAAATAGGGGATTATTCGTGTCCACACCTAATAATTCCACCCACTTAGCGGTTTTAAAGTCTTATCATTTGATTCGTCGAAATTGCTCGCATATTTTTATTGTTAGATCAGAAATATCTCACACGTGTTGACACGTTACCTGTTGTTCGACTGTCTTATATTTTAGTTAAATCACATTGTTGCCTATTGTATTATAAATATTAAGTTACTCTTGAAGTAATATAGACTCAATTTTAACATAAAACAGTTTCAAGACGTGGGTGACGAGCAATTTTTTGGGATATTATTATTATTAAATTTATATGATTAAATTATCTTAGTAAATTTACAGAGTGGGATCGTCATAACAGCTTTTCCAAACAGATCACAAATGTTTTTCACAGTGTTTCCAACATCTATTCCTTTGCTTTTTAAATTTTCGTTCAAAACAATTCACTGTGTTCGATTGACAACGTTCGTTTCTACATTTAACTTTTAATGCTCACCTTCTCTTGCATTTGCTGTTTCATAGCAATCGTTTTTTTCTTGTCCTTGCAACGTTTATTCTGAAACCATACCCTAATCACCCGCGGACTAAGGCCCGTCATCTCCACCAACTGTTCCTTCATCAGCGCGTCTGGCCGCGGATTCGCCGCGTAACAAGTTCTCAGAGTGTGAAGTTGCTTCTCGTTCAGAACTGTACGGACCCTGGTTGGCTTACCATCGGAACCGCCGCTGCTTTTATGGCTGCCTGATCCGCGGTTACCACCCACGCTCGCTTTGTGCGATCCGCTCTCAGACCCGGAATCTGCGAACACATCGACGACAATTAAGTTAACGTAGCCGTCGTTTATGACAATCCTTTGGGATCCGAATTTTCTAGGAATATTTTAACTTGTTTTCCCTGTTCTCGAAGCTATTGTAAAATGTTTGATTTTGTGGTATAAAAGTGAAGTGGTATACGAGGGTGATTAAATAAGATTTGGTAAAAAAAAAATTGGTAGTAATTGTTAAAGTATTTGAACAAGACAAAAACATGTTAATGTGTCTTATAGTATATTATTAAACATTCCAGCGAATCGGTATGTTTTAATTTTCGAGAATCCAATTTCCCTAAGAAATTACGATTCTTCTTCGATACCAACGATAGAAAAATGAGAGGTAAAACGTGACATATCTCAAACTAAAAAGGTATTAAAAAATTCACCATTGAATTGAAATTCCAAAAAGTATTCTATACCTCATCCGCAGTCTCGACGTAATCTTCAATTCTCTAGCAATCATAAACCATTCAAACAGGTTTCGGAAACAAATTGGTTTGATCACGGTCTCGTGTCAGGGATCAGGTTTTAAATACCGCGATCTTCTCTTCGCCGAACATTAGATCGATACGTCCGAATTTTGTCGCTTGCACGGAGGTGTCCACTTATCTTGCCGCGCGCGAAAAAGAAAAAAGGCGGAGGCTTAAACAGGAACACTGCACAAATTGCAAGCTGGCTGCATTCATCCGCCGACACTTCCCCGCTCTGATTCGCCGCTTATTTGGAAGAAAGTCCGACTCTTCGCGGGGAAGAGCAACGCGACTAAATCAGGAGAATGCCGGAGCGGAGTGTTCGGCTGCGACTATCGTCCTAACCGGTCTTGCGAAACCTTCTTCGCCAGCTAATGGGAGATCCGGATAGTGGTTCAACATGGCGGATGGAGAACGCGAAGACAAATGCCTGCTCCGTATTCGAGGGACCAGAGACGATATTACGGACGAGTAAACTTTGACCGGGATTCCGTGATCGGTATACGGTCCGAAAAGAACGATCGTGAACACCTTCCTGATACATTAACCCTGCTGTTCTCGGGTCTATATGACCCGAAATGAAGGACAAACGATGCGTTGATTTTTTAAAATATATATTTGTTAAGGAAAGTTGCCTATATTGGACCATTTGTGTATCTCTATAAAGAAATATATTTACAGTGTTTTCGTTGGATATATTGATTTAAGGAGCGGAAATAAAATTTGGGAGAACAGTGAAACAGGTAATTAATTTGCTTGTCGTTTCACGTTGTCGAGATATAAAAATATAAAAATACGTGCTGCGTAATTATTATTCTTCGTGCTATTTCGAGTGAATTTCATTTTACAGCTTGTAAGTACTGTAATTTTAAATAATACGACAACACGAAAATATGGAAAATGTGAAACCCACTAAAAAAACGTACTAATGCACCACGTGCACCGTACGATACTTATTTCTTACTGTTTCTATTTTTTTCAATGTCCTGAACAGTTTTGATAATATGCTAAAATAATATTTAGGTGTTCGACTACTGATAAGATTACAAATTGGTGAGGTACTTATCATTAGTACGCTCTCTGAAATATATTTTGCCATTCTCTATTGGGATTTCCAAGATTGAAGGAAAAAGTGTTCTTGAAGTCGACTGCTATGAATACGGTTAATAAAATAACGCCTATCTTTTCAATATTCGCTCACTTGAATAGAAAGTGCTCGATCGTTACAGATGTGCAAATCAGTATTTTGAAATTAAACCGCGATTTTTCGTCTTGATATTAATCGATGGTAATCATAATACTGATAATTGATTTTAAGTATGTATTCGATAGTGAATGACGACACATAAGGTGATTCGTGTGAGATTAAAATAATCTCTTGATGAAATAATTACGTGTACTTCTTGGCACTCCTTTGTTCTCGTACCGCCAGGCTTACGATGCGAGTAATGGATAGACGCGGATAAGCAAGTGACAGTATCTAATTCGAAAATCAGTGTTAACTCTAAAAGGATTGACTTCGTAGTAAGCTTTCATTGCAGTAGGTATGTGAGTACGTACATAGGACACCACGAAAGTTTTCAAAAACAATCGAGATATTGATTGTACGGTTACCTATTTTAAAGTATCTCCATGAGTTACCTTATCTGTGCATACTGTGATCACCCCCGAAGAAAAAGGTAAGCGTAAATGTGATTCTACATAAATTGACATCGTCTGTTATTATATTAAAATAATGTTACAATATTTCTATAATTCAGTCTACTATGTGTCCCTAAAATCGAGAAATGTTTTCCCAACAGTCACTTTCAATCAAATTTATTCTCTCTTCCGTCGTTTTTATAAATTTCTTTCTTCCTTTTAAACAGATTCACTGCACCCCGTATTATGCGACTTCTCCCCGTTAATTGCCACGGGGACGAATAAATAAACATCGCGCGATATTTGTGTCGAGCCGTTCTACGAATCAGGAAAGTTTCCAAAAGGATGAGAATTTTCAGGTTCAGTTCCCCTTGTTAGTCCGCATCGATCAGGGAAGGACCGCGCGAACCAGCCAAAAAGGAAGGAGGAATCAGAAACCTTTCGGGGCACATTTCAGCCGGCGGAACAGCGAAACCTGTTGAGAGTCGAATTTCATTAACTCCCAATTAACGAGTAATAAGTAACTCGTGCTGCGATAAGGATCCAGTTTCCTTGGCGGTGTCCTTCGGAAGGATTCGGTGGCCGCACGAGATCGAGTGTTCGCGGATACTACCGAAGAGGCGATAGAACAAACGAAATCCGATTTGTTATTAAAAGTATATGACGACTATTTTTACATATGAAGTACATATTATGTAATAAACAAGAAGTGTATAAAACAAGGTCAACTCAGGTAAATTTAACCCAATCGTTATAATTTTTTTTCTAAACGACACGTTAAAACGTATAAAGGTAACAAAGTGCACTGTGCCCGAAACGTTACAAACTTTCCGAACGACACAGTACTTTGGAGGGGATTAAATTACAAAACGACGAATTCAGGCGTACCTATACCAACAACCGTATAGTTTTGTTATTCACCGTATATTTAGACGGACGGTCTAACGACGTGGCACAGCGTTGCTTAATCGATGATAATTGAAAATTGCGTGGTACGTGACACAGGGGCTAGCTGGAACGTACTTCCTAATTCTCCCGTAAACAATATCTTACGGGTCGCGCGCGGGTCGGCATATTTTCTATGGTGTTTGTCACTTGGCTTCCTTATGGAAATTGTTGCGTCTAAACATCTTTGGTCCGATGCACGAAACTGGTGGACCACGGACACCAGATGAGGGCAGTGGTTTGACAACTCTTTACAGCGTGGCCGAGGTGTCAAATGTAGCACCTCTCTGCCAACTACCGTGGCACATAACTACGCACGATCTCTTTCATTTCTTCCTTTCCTTCGGGTTTTTCTGTTCTTTTTTTTTTTTATGAAAGTTTATTCAATTTTCTCTTTTTCGGCAATCGTTTCCCTCTGACATGAGTCAATGAGAAGACCAACTAGAAAATCACGTACGGGCGATTCTAACATTGTACGATTTTAACATGGTCATCATTTTTTTTTTTTTTATTGTGATTCAGGCGTTTATTGATATTTTATAACTTTCCTTTTTAGTCGAGAGATTTTTGAGATGCTGAAGGTTCAAGATGAACAGGCAGTTTGTTTTTCTCTTTTGCAATGGTGTTTGGAAATGTTAAAATATGAAGTTTTATGAAACCAGAGTTAGTTGAATTGTCATTGAATCTCAGTAAGAAGATAATTTTATGTTGTGCTAATTATAAAAAGACAATTTATGTCATGTTGCTAGTTTTAATTATTTTCTGTCGCTCATTGTGCACGATTCTGCTTAATCTACAAGTGTACAACTTTACCCCAGCTCGGTCAATTTTCCCGGTCATAATTTTTTTAACAATCCAAAACCATTACATCGCTACAGAAGTAATCTCGAATCTCCAATCTATCCGTATAAATTAGCATTAAATCTCTAGCTAAAAACTATTACTTTCTACCCTGATCTTCCCTACATACGCAATTTTCTTTAATCATATAAATTCTCATACCTATCATATAAATAAATTCAAAAAAGCTTTAAAAAACGTATTCCACTATTTTGTCCACTAACTTGTTACATTTCGTTTATCAGTGTAAGGTTATACAGCGACAATTTTCCGGGTAATTAAATCATCATTAACGCGAGCCTCATTGGACATTTAATCCAGACTATCCAGCCGATGTGTGTGCACATATTAGGACGGTTTGCACGCAGAACACTAATCCCGTGTAATCCTGCCGCGTAGGAGGGAGCTGGTCAAGCCTTCTAGGTCTTAACGGCTTCAATTATCAACACCTAATTACGACCCCGAGGATCCTAACACAATACCGTTATGTCGGGAGGTCCCTTTGAGCCTCCCCTCTAGCGGATACCCTTTTGCAAATTTGCCCTTTGTGCTCTGATAGTCCGTGTCCAGACAATTTAATCCACAAATAAATTATGCTCGTTTGCCCGCGTGATAAAAGTTATGATACTGTCATTGAAGTCTTGATATATTTCGTGATAGTGCTCCAGAAATTAGCCACTCTTGTAACCTTAATAACTAGAATCGCAATGGCGGAATATTATATTGGATAACAGTAATTGGGGAATATTAATTGGGCAAATTTTTAGTACATTGGTCGATTCACGTGAAGTATGTTAAGAGCGGCAGGTTGTCAGAATTAAGACTCAATTTCTAATGTTTTAAGACAAGTCTAAGGAAAGATTCTATTAAACATAGCTTACTTGCTTTCTTAATTAACCCTCGCAGGGCGGTGTCTGGGTCCACTTAAGCAAAGTTTTTAACAGGTCCATATAACACATCAACGTAGAAATCGAGTACAGTTAGGAGTTGTCAATTTTGAGTCATATAAAAACGCAGGTCTTTTTAAGTGACTAATGTAAACAATAAGAAAGCGAACATATCCGATTTCAATCGGCTCTTTGATGGAAACTGTGATTGAAGTACGGAGTATGGTATGGTATTATATAACGTGTTAATGTTATTGGAAATTTGATCACTAACGATTCAACGTTAACAATGATTTGCAACAATATATATATATATAATATATAAAAAAGAAACTGACACGCAGAAGCTTAATTCAATATGTTTACAACAGGAAGTCGATCGATAAAACGGAATGTTTTCTTTACCTGATATCGAGCCATCATTGGGATGCAAATGGTGATTGTTATTCATAAGGGATGCGTTGTTATTATTCTCGTTGCCAGCAGCACCACCAGCCCCAGAGCAAAGCTTTCCACCCTCGAGAACGTCGTGATCGTGTCTGCAGAAAAGACCGTCCTGTCTCAAGGCAAATTCGTCGCCAGGTACTAACTGCCTCATGCACGCTGAACATCGGAAGCACTTTATGTGATAAATCTTGCTCTTTGCCCTCATCACATAATCGTCCTTGCTGAAGCACTCGCTGCACATGTCGCACTTCGTCCCGAACAATCTGGAAAAAATTTCATGGTCGATCAGTCGATTTGAATTGGATTCATGTTATTTCTTCGTTAATAATTTTATAGTCTTAATTTTTTGATAATTTCAATTTAATGGAAGGAAACTTTCAAGAATTGGGCAAAGTTGTGATTCTCGAAGGCCGACATAGTCTAACGTTCAAAAGTTTAGGTACACCTATTAAATCTGTATTCAGGTATCTGTAATTTTTGATGGGTTTCTATAAAATAGAATTTCACTTTATTTATTTCTTCTGTTGAATTTATTCATTTTACTTGTTGCTTTGTAGGAACAGGTTTTCGTGAAATTTAACCAGCACGATGAATCGATTAATCAATTATCGTTTTATGAACTAATTCTGTTCGATTTCTCCGAATGAGGTGTATTAAAGTCATTAGTCAGTACGTCCTATATTGACACATTTTATTAGTATGCAGCACGTAATCAAATCTTAATTTACTTCCATGCAACACGTGATCGCAGCTGGTGATTGTCAGGCAATTATCGATTGGTCGTTTATTTATATCACGATGTTTCAATGAAATTAGTAGACCTTTCCTGAAATTGAATTCTTTTTGAAACAGATTTTATCGTTGTCACTTTTTAGTTTTCAGAAATAAATAAACAGAAGTTACATAGTACTAGCTATAAATCATCTTTCATAGTTCATAATTGACAACTGCGTTGGCGTTGAATAGAAGTTCCTATTGTCATTGTTCAATATAATTGGTAACACAACATTTTCGTCCAACTTTCATCTTATGTTATTGATAATGATGAGGAAGATAATAACAATGTCAGTTCGTTGACATGATTAAAATTTCTCGAATGATTTTGTACATAGAATAATAAAAACGATAAATATGTGTTAACATTTTAAATGATACCTATTTAATCTTTATGAATATTAACCGTATCTATGCATTGAAAGATAGACATTTTAATCCAAATTCATAACTAAACTTCATAAAGATAGAAGTTTCTGTTAAAACATACTATTTAGTGGTAACAACATTCCGCAAAAAAATAGCAGCTAAAGGCGTCTTAAAAAATATGAATAATGGGATCCACTTAATCTTCGTCTAATAAAATTCGTATAATAAAGTTGAATACAATATCAGGTGTCGGCAATAAAACGGTTATCTCATGAGCAACAAGCTAATATTAGTAAGATCATCTGCATATAACAGCGAGATCTCCGTCCCAATCAGACAAATTTATCCGGGGATGGTTAAGGAACACCCAGAAGGGAACGTTTTACCACCGGCTTGTTTCGACTTTTCGAACAAGACGATAGAAACAACAAACACGCGTCATCGATGTCTCTACGGCCTGGCAAATCCGTGTCGACCGGATATGCCAGTCTTCTTCTTCGTTTCGGAGGCATTTTCGACGTCCGATGGATCAATGCAAATAAACCGTCTGTCCCCGAAGGAGAAAAATATTTGGCGCAGGTTGCCGGGAGATCGTCTCGATCGATGCTGCCAGTTTAAAAAGTTCCCCTTCCCCCCCTTTTTTCCCCCTTTTTCGTTTCTCTTTTTTTCTTTCGAAGACGCCACTCGTTTCGGATTACGTTCGAAATGGGGCGCCGTTTCGGTCACACGAATCCGTGAAACGTCTTCTTGCTAGTGTCTGTTACCACTTTTTTTCACTATTTTGCGCTACAGACCGACGACATTTATTTATGTTTCGAATTCATCTTGCGCTTATTATGTGTATAGAAAATGCTGTTTATATAATGATATATTTAAATCGTAAATTTCGATTATTTAAATGACACTGCTGTTGAATCTAGCAAAAACATCTAACTATGCAATGAAATAAGTGTTAAGTTTGCGGTAAATAAATATTAGGTGTACTAATAAATAGTACTATTCCTCTTAATTATGGTGCGATACACATATTTTAAATTAAATTGTCTTCTCAATTTTTCACTAACTTTAACACGAAAGAACTCCTTACTACTTTCAACGATTGTTTCAAGCGACGTTGTTTTGATACGTATATGTATATACAATGTAATTTTACAAATTGGAGACATGTGAAATTTACAGAGCTCTGTAATTTTTCGTTCGAATTTTGCGGATTCGATGCAACCACGTGTGAACTGCGTGTTTTTTTTTTTTTCGTCGCTGATGCATTTCTCCCAGCAGACGGTAACTTCTGCTCAGTATATCTCAGATAAAAATACTCCGAAGAAACGCTCTGTCAGTTCTTACTTTCTTCGTTTCCTCCTTCTTTGCTCCGGTGGTGCACCTTTTTCTCCTTATTTCCCTGGAATCCCACCGTTCGCGAACGCGTACACCGAAAAGACTATCGCGTGTCGTTCGAGAATGCTGCCAGTTTTGCATTAATTACCATATTGCACTCGACCGTACCCAGTTTTCACCCTCCCTCGAGATTTCGCGACTATAATTCTTCTTTAACAATTTGTTTTTATTTTTTTTGTCATTAACTATGCGGTAAATATATAGCGTCGGAATATAGCGTTTCAGGTACGATTTGGCTTTTAAATTTATAACAATATGAAATGTTATTTACAATAACGTTTATAATGATATCATTTTTTTACTGTTAGTAATGTACACAAAATATTTCTGGACGAAGTATACTACTAAAAATGTATGTGTATTGTAATTATTAGACCATCGATTTTATGCACTTCTGACATAATGAGTGTATGCAAATATTTTTGAAATTTGTTAGCACCATATTATTCTACATAAAAAACCGCAAACCTCGTCCATTAGAAGTTTTCATGTATCTCCTTTGGTTTTCGATATAATATTTTCGGGTCGAAACTTCGACGGGTGGTTTCACCCCTTAAAGTCGCGTCTCAGCCGATAAAAAAAAATATGTATCCCTTATTTTTGACTGCTTAACAGACATACAAAGTTTCGTCAAAATCGGAGGGGGACATTTCCATGTCTTCCCTCTTAAGAAAACCGATATGTCATTATGGGTCGATTTAATCTCGAACTTTGTTCTATCAAATCAGATAAGTCGTTACCTTGCGTAATCTCGTTTGCAATAGGTTTTTCCGTCCCGTACGAAGCAGGTGCAGTGCTCGTCCAAAAATTGCTGGCACTCCGCGCACTTCAAACAAGCCGCATGCCATTCCAAGTTCGGTGCAACCCGCAGAATCCATTGGTCATGAATTCGTCCCCCACATCCCACACAATGCGAACTTGTGCTTTCTGAAAAAAAATAAAGAAACGTCGGTTAGATAATACTCTATCTCTAATCTGTGAAACAATAGGAATAAATTCGTAATCATATAATTAATAAGGACACGGGAGACACGTCATCTGCACAGTTTACGAAACAAAACGGAGGAATTGATTGTTTGATAATTTATTCCTTTCTTTGTGCTTAATGTAACGAGTTAGCAATTATTTCATAGTTATCTTTCATTTTTATATTAGTCAATACACATAAAATAATTAATTAATTGAACAGAAATTTCGTGTTTCTAATTGGTAAAAAATAATGTCCTTGTGCATGAATACATTGGGTATGCTTTGCATAAATTATTGTACTGTTGCAAAACCTGTAACTCTTGAACTGTTAACTGGATAACGTTATTTTAGGTATTTTTATGTCATAAGAATAATATTTATCTCTTCGAATTTCCCTTTATGAAATATCATGAGCTAACAATCATAGACATTGGATTTCGAGTGTGAATTATAGATTATTTTCGTGTAAATATCCATTACACGTCACATAATATCAGAAAATATTACGTATATGAATAATCACGTATAGTTACAGGCTGCATCATATTCCAATGAATCTCGATGCAGAATGACTTTCTCAGAGACTGACGTCGCGTCATATGTCCTGCTGCCAATTCAGACACATCTCACGATAATTACAGTCATCGACTTTTGTTTCGAGGGTGCGATTCGTACGAAAAAAGGGGGGAAAGCGTTGAGATTTCAAGGAGGAGATGTAAAATCAATGAGCCTTCGCGCGTTGAAGGGAACAAAAGCGTATAGAGAGCCCGTCTGTCAAGCAGATCTATTAAATGTACTTACGCTTAAAAGGTTTTGCACGTCAATTGAAAGAAATTCTTTCTGAAGAAGTGAAAAAATGTATTTTCAAGACAATAAGTATGTGTGTTGGTCGAGTATTTAAAAACGATGCAGTGTAACTAATTTTTCGTCATAGTGTTAATAAAAGCGACATTTCATATAGATACAACCACCTAACATTCATATCTTTAATAACAAGAATTTAAACAGGTATATTCTTTATATTTTTATATTTATTACAATATTGTCCTACTGTCAAAAACCATGAGTAGTCACCTTGTCAACAATATATAGTAATAACCCGTTCGAGTAATCACCTTGAAATATTCAAAATTCATGTGGTATACTCTATGCTATATCCCGACCGTTACATTTGTCTTTAAATCAAATCGAAGACAAAAATTCGTACACGTGCCTCTGTCGTTACTGACCAATTCTGATCGAAAAAAATGCTGTAATTTTTAAACACACCAGGGTGGTCTAACCCTGAATCCGTTCATACCCACTCGCCAAATCAAAGATTCATGTTCATCGACCCTCCGAATGTACCGACATCTCGACATATGTTACACTCTGTTCGCGCGAGTACACGTCGGATCGTTACACGCTTACAATCGAAAAAAAAAAAAAAAATCAAATTCA